TACCTCCCTTGCCTAATAAATAACTATTTTCAGTATCGTCAAATGTCATTTCAATCTGCGTATTTATCGCAAACGTAAAAAACTTCCATCCAAATCTACCCACACATCACTTTCCGCAAAATCACTTAACAAGCTAACTACCACCTGGGCTACGATATAATTTCCTTTTGCCTAGAAAATGAGTATTATTAACAGTCTCCGAATCCGAGTAATTTGTTCCTAATCAGAATAAAATTGCAGTGAAATTATCGTGGAATTGTGAATAATCCCTTCACAGTGTGCATTGTAATTTTCTTGTTTTTTTTTTATAAAACCATATCCTGATAAGGCTTTGCAGTTTGCTTCATTCTGATTCATTTTAAATATGACGCAATGTAGTTTTGTTTAGAATGACCGATAGTTCTTATTGTTATTCGATTCATTAGATAGCAGAATATGGAAATTTCTTCACACTTGCACGCTTTATATTTAAAATTTGTTGGGGATAAATCCCGCAGATTACATTTACAGGGGCTTGGATCCCTGTTTGTTTGTAGAGTGCAACATATGGTGGTAGGGTAAATTATATACCATTAGAAAGAACATTGAATTCTCTATAAATATGTGTAAAATTGAGTTTTATAGCTCAAATAGTTTTTAAGCAATTGACCCTCAAAGTTGACTTTTTAGTCCAAACTTTGTTAAAAATTTCAAACTCAATTTGCTCAAAAACTATAAATTTCGGAATATTGTAAATTACACGCCATTTAGAGCTTAATAAGAGCTACAAATACTGAACATTCCAATGCAATTTGCTCAACGCTTACCGAACAATCGAGGTTTGAATATTCAAAAGGCATACCTACCATTAAGAAAAACTCGATTTTTTTATTTTTCAGTTTTGCTCAATTTTAACTTTACTATCAATTCAAAGGGGTGCCCTTAAGAAAAACTCGATTTTTTAATTTTTCAGTGTCGCTCAATTTTAACTCCACCAAAAAAATTACAAGAAAATCCTATTTTTGGTTCAGGAAAATTTTCAAAATCTTGACTGTCATGAATAATTGCTAATATCTTTGTTAAATTTCAAGCGAATTGAAATAAATTATGCACCATTGGAAAGAGCATTAAATTCTCTATACATTTTATAGGGTCGTTCAATGAAATTTCATTAGCACGGTTTTTCACATTTTCATGGGGCATTACTCACATATAGCACGTAGAAAAAATTTCAGCTTAATTGGATAACTATTGAAAGAGTTACGCGTTTTTTAATATTAAAACACTTTTGCCTCGGAAATTCATTGCTGTGACGTCATAGCATCTCTCGAGTCGAGACCGGCTAAAGGCCGTCACACACGGTTTTGCATAACGCAATGTTAACTGATTTTCTACTGACAGTTTGCCGCACAGTTTGCGGAACTGTGCAATATTTATAATTTTTCGTTTTGCATGATACTTCCAAAATAATTGTGCTCATAAAATATTGAAACTCAGGGGATTATTCAAATATACGAAATGTGATTCGAAAGAAAAACATCCAGAAACATGAAATGCCAAACTGAAACTTGTCTAAACGATGCTAAACCAAAACTTGTCAAAACAATGCCCGTATTGTCGAAGTGACTGGCATACCAGCACCACAAGGACCAACGTGAGAGATGCGGTGACGTCACCGCGTGTTTCAAATTTAGAGTATTTTGATAATATATTTAAATATGAACAAGGGCTCAGAAAACTATGAAATTTTGCTAAATTCAACACGCTCTTTTAGAATATGTAATAAAAAAAATATGCTGTACGAGCCTATTGAGCCTCAAAGTTAACTTTTAGTCCAAATTTTGTCAAAAACTTCAAACTCAATTTGCTCGAAAACTTTAAATCTGGGAAAATTGTAAATTACAGGCCATTTAGAGTTTAATAAGAGCTATAAATGCTGAAAACTTCAATGCAATTTGCTCAACGGTTACCGAGCAATCAAGATTTGAATATTTTGAAATCAGCCCCCGGATTCTATTTTACGAATACGACAGCTCCGGACGTACCATGTAATACGTATGGAAAAATCGAAAAATAGAATCGCTATTTTGACAATTCGATACGAATTTCGACTCGACTCGTAAAATAGAATCCGGCCTCTGAATTCAAAGGGGTACCCTTAAGAAAAACTCGATTGTTTAATTTTTCAGTGTCGCTCAATTTTAACTCCACCAAAAAAATTATAAGAAAATCCTATTTTTGGTTCAGGAAAATTTTCAAAATCTTGACATGGTTATGAATAATTGCTCATATCTTTGTTAAATTTCAAGCGAATTGAAATAAATTAAGCACAATTAGAAAGATCATTAAATTCTCTATAAATCCATGTAAAATTGAGTTTTATAGCTCAAATGGTTTTCGAATATTTGAACCTCAAAGTTGACTTTTAGTCCAAATTTTGTTAAAAATATCAAAGTCCATTGCTCAAAAACTATAAATCTTTGAATATTGTAAATTACAGGCCATCCAGAGCTTAATAAGAGCTACAAATGCTGGAAGCTTCAATTCAATTTGCTCAACGGTTACCGAGCAATTGAGATTTGAATATTTTGAAATCAGAATTCAAACGGGGTACCCTAAGAAAAACTCGATTTTTTTTATTTTTCAGTTTTGCTCAATTTTAACTTCACCAATCGATAGAACGGGTCCAAATTATCGGAAAACAACCCTTATATTAATTTCAAATTGTAATTTTAAGCGGAAACAAAAATAACAAGAAAATCCTATTTTTGGCTCAGGAAAATTTTAAAAATCTTGAGATGGTCATAAATAATTGCCCAAATCTTTGTTAAATTTCGAGCGAATTGAAACAAATTATACACCATTGGAAAGAGCATTAAATTCTCTATAAATCCGTGTACAATTGAGTTTCATAACTCAAATAGTTTTTGAGCAATTGAGTCTCAAATTTGGCTTTCAGTCCAAATTTTTTATCCGAAAATTTCAAACTCAGTTTGCTCAAAAACTATAAATGTGGGAATTTTGTAAATTACACGCCATTTAGAGCTTATTAAGAGCTGGAAATTTCAATGCAATTCGCTCAACGGTTACCGTTGTTTCCAGTTTTGCTCAATTTCAACTTCAATAATCGATAGAACGGGTCAAAACTAGTGGAAAACAGTCCTGATATCAATTTCAAATTGCCATTTTAAGCAGAAACAAAAATTACAAGAAAATCCTATTTTTGGCTCAGGAAAATTTTCAAAATATTGACATAGTCATGAACAATTGCTCATATCTTTATTAAATTTCAAGCGAATTGAAATAAATTATACACCATTGGAAAGAGCATTAAATTCTCTATACATCCGTGCAAAATTGAATTTTGTAGCTCAAATAATTTTTGAGCAATCGAGCCTCAAAGTTGACTTTTAATCCAAATTTTGTCAAAAATTTCAAACTCAATTTGCTCAAAAACTATAAATCTGGAAATATTCTCAATTACAGGCCATTTGGAGCTTAATAAAAGCCACAAATGCTGAAAATTTCAATGTAATTTGCTCAACGGGTTACTGAATAATCGAGGTTTGAATATTTTGAAATCAGAATTCAAAAGGGGTACCCTTAAAAAAAACTCGATTTTTTTATTTTTCAGTTTTGCTCAATTTTGACTTCACTAATCGATAGAACGGATTAAAATTGGTGCATGGAGAATAATTGTAGAGCCAATTTACGTTAAGGGATGACGAATAAAAAGTATTTTCAAGTCGAGTATAGGTTTGTTTCCTTTGCTAAGCCCTCTATCCAAACCAACAAATAATACAGTCCATCAAGGAAGGAATGCCAAATAAGGCACAAAATTAATTATAATAAGTACTATGAAAATCTTCAATCGACGGCGATGGCAACATTGTCACAAACGAACGAAATAATTTATTAAATTCCTTTGTAAAAAGAGCTGCTGGGCAAACTCACAGTAAAAAGAGTTTGTGTAAAATTACCATAACCTTCATTGGTAATATTATGCCTTGGATGTACAAGTAAAATATTACCAGAAAAGGCAAGTAATATACATAGCTAGAATACTTCTGTACTTTTACATTGTTGTCTATGTATCTGTTTGTTGGACTACAAAGTAATTTCTGATATACCAAAATCATGGAAATGTACTAGTGCTGCCATTTAAAGAAATTGACTTTACAGTAAAAACACGTTAGAGAGTTGTGAAATTACCATGTTAGTTTTACATTTTGCACTTAGTTTTTACCTGGAATTTCATGTAAAAGATACCTGTCCTTGTTGGTAACTTACCTAGTATTCCATGTGAAAATGTGGATTTATTTCACATAAATTTACAGATAAGAATTTATTAGTTCTATCCAGCTTCTCCATTCCTACTTGGTTAATATATGGTTAGTTTTATTCTTTGGTTAAACTTGATATGGGACATTTAGAACATATTTTTTTGCCAGAGATCAATTTTATCGAAGAATAAAAATAGCCAGTCTTAAACCAAAAATGAAGAAACCGGACTTGAAGAATGAAAAATAAGGCAGGGTAAAGATTTTAAAATTTAGGATAAAACCCCCGTTTTTGTGCCAGAGGCTAAGAAAAACAAAATATAATTGAAAAATGAGCTTTTATTTTTGTTTTAGAAATCAAATATCAAATATCGAATAAAAATGTTTGCATAGGTACAGTGGGAATCATTGCAATTGGCACACACTCTTTAAAATCCCCCGTATTAAGTCAAAATTCTAACCAATAAATCTATTTAGTGTAGCATTTTGCCATTACTGTGTGTCAGATTTGACACATTACGAGGGATATTTACATAGTGTGTGCCAATTGCTATTGCAATGATTTCCACTATACCTATAAATATAGAAATAGAATCACAATGTTATGTCTCTACAGAATACATTTAAAAATAAAAAAAAAACGTAAAAGTGTATTTCTACCTAAATGTAGTACGTAACAAATCAAAAAATAAACAACAAATTCTAATGGTAAAAACAAAGTAACAAAAGAATAAAATAAAGACATGGGCAAATTGAAAACCAAATATGATGTGAACACTGTTACCAATGAGCCTTGGAACGATAACAACTCTCCATCAGCTAGCGGCAAGCCTGATTTAGTCTAGCATGATCACAAATTCTATGTTTCCATCGGCACCTGGAACAAATTCAGATTCTTGAATATCTCACTTACCTGAATTATTTAACGTCAGAATATATGAAAAACACAATTCACAATAATTATTGGAAAAACACGTTTGCAAGCCGCTGTTTCCTTCAACCGCTGTTTCTGTTTCTGGATCCCGCGTAAAATGGCATCGCAATTCGTTGTCATGAGGGTGCATCTTCTTGATAAGTATGGAGGGAGAACAATTACTGGTTTGACCACGTATTTTTACAATAATTTAAAGATAATCACATTATTCCATATTTTACTTTATTTTATAAGAAAATACATTCCCAAGAGTAAAATATTGTGCAAATCTGTAAGATATAGTAATAATATTACTTAGATGTATTTTTACTTACTAGAACAGGGAACAGAAAAAATACTTCATCAATATGGTAAAATATGCAAGGTAGGCGAAGTACTTTATTGGGTATTTAAATAGAATTACAGGCATTTTTTACTGTGCTCTTTAAGCCCCGTCCAAGATGGAAAAAACAGAAGAAACAAAAAAAAAACCAGTGACCCATAATTTAAATTTTTGATTTTTTTTCTACTTTTCCCTTCGTTTTCAAAACATTGCTGATGATACTGCGAAGTTTAATCGCGGAAGACCATTTTCAACGAGGATACTTTTATCTTTTATCTAATTTTTCTATTAGAAACCCTAACAAACTAGAAATAATTCTCCGAATTGTTCCTCTTCGTAGAAAGTCAAGTACAGGGTCACTATATTTTGACACCCACCTGCAGCTGTAATTACAGGTGATAGATGAAAGGTGTAAATACAAAGTTGTAGCATTTCATCTGAACCTCCAGAATTTTTGAACAAATTGAAGAAATGAGCAACGCAAAGTAAAAAAAAATGTCGATGTTCACTTTTCTTAAATGGAATGCACTTTATGTTCTTTCAAATTCTTACAGTTCTCGTTTTTCTGATTCATATTATAGGACGGCGGCCAAGCGCGCAAAAGCCTTCGTTTTAAGAAGCAACCCGGTATTGAGGTATATTTTATTAAGACTAGTACCAGATGATTCAGCATATTTTTCTGCATATAAAATGAAAATGGACGACTTTTTGCATTGGTCGAGAGTTAAGTTAGGAGCAAAAAACTAAAAATATACGTAAACTAAAATTTCCAACTTTAACCTCGTATAACTTCTAAACCGCATGAGATAATAAAATTATTTTTTCTACAACTGTCAAAAAATGATGATTTTCGCACACTCATGACAGTTTGCGAAGTGGCACTTTTTTCCCCAGGTATTGATTTTTTAACGTTCCCATGACGCCGTGCGCGAACTAGCTAGCTAGACACATACCTGTCAGGAAATCAAAAATAATTAAAATTCACCTACCTTTGATTGAAAATGCAATTTTGGCTTCGAATGATTGATATTTAAATGGAGTTGTAGAAAAAATATTGTTTGCAACTCGGGCGCGAAATACTTTGGTGATCTCGACTATTTTTCAAAAAAATCAGATCTCGATCACCAAAGTAGCATTTCGCGCCCTTGATACAAAAATAACTATTTGCTCTAGATTCTAGACAAATATATTTTCTTTAATATGGTGTATATATTGTTCGAAAAATATTAAAGTAGGGCTCAAAAAATCAGTTATTTCGTAGGCACGGCGCGAATGAGTAAAATATATGTCTGCTTTAACCTGCGATAACTCCTTTATATATTGGAGTATTAACTTAATTTTTTGCTCAAAAACTAGCAAATTTAATTGGCTTTCTTTCGTCTCAATTATATACCGACCTATTGTCAATAATAAACTAACTAGAGCCGTTTTAACACAACAAAGCGCGGTCTGGCGGCAGAAGTTGCGTGGCTCCCCTCTCATTCCCCCTACCCGCTGACAACCACCGGCATGAATTAAAAAACTACGTGTGATGCCGTAGACTGCATGCAATGATATGACAGTCAATTTTGCTTGTTTATGGAACTTTGTGTTCTATTTTAAAAAGTCTAGTTTATGGGGTTCTGCTTGCATCAGGAGTTATAGCACAGGTAAGATGATATTATCAGTAACTAGTAAGACAAAAAGTTAACTGGAAAATATCCATAATTTTTAGGAAACTTGTAAGTACGAATGCAATTAAGTTAAAAAAGAGAACGAGTACACGTCAAAACTTTAAAAATTAATTAAATAGGTACCTAGGTGGTTGTTCTGTGAGCCGATAATAAGTTATCGGTATCTATTATCCCGTAATTTCAAGTGTGATTGGTCTAAGTGAGCATCTACTACTTGTCCAATTATTTGTTATATTTTACAGATTTCTCTTTTACACTTCACGTAAATTTTTTCATTTTGTAGACGGACTAACATTGACGTCATGGATAATTGTGTTTTATGTTGCAAAACATTTTCGGTGGAATCACCTTGTGGTCCTTGTGTTAGAAAGCCAACAAAACGGAGCTACGCAACAATTTTTTCGGCAGCAGGGTATTACCCCTTGTACCTACCTGTACTCCTGTACTAATAGATATTAAGTTTTTCTTTTTATTAGTGCCGCTTTTACCACAAATCAAGCAGTCAGCTTCTATATTAAACTTCTCCTTACCACTACGACCGCTACTGCTTCATGGAAATACTTTGATTATGTTTGGGTTATTTAATTTCACTACTTATCAATATTATTTTTGCTGCAAAAAGATCTTCTGCAACTTATATGATATCTGAATATTTAGGGAATTTGTTCCAATTTTAATTGAGAAACGGTTAGATGTATTTCTAAAATCGTCAAAAGTTATTGAGAATAGTTAAATGTTATTCAGAATGCGTTAATTATGATTGTCAATAGTCATATGTAATTGAGAAACCGTCAAATGTAATTGAGAAAACGTTAAATGTAATTGTAAATGCGGTAATTGTATTTCAGAAAACATCAAATGAAATTCAGAATAGGTCAAAAGAAATTAAGATCATGCAAAATTCGAAACTGTGGAAAATAATTAAGCAATCCATATCCGATATCCCATAAATTTTCACGAATTTGTGGCACCTCGTATATAAAATTTTCGAATCTTCATGATCTCAACTTTATTTTACCTATTCTGAATGTTATTTGATACTTTCTGAATTACATTTAACGTTTTTTCAATTACATTTGCCCATCCTCGAATAGAATTAACGCATTTTCAATTACATTTGACTATTTTCAATTACTTTTGACAATTTCTGAAATACATCTAACCGTTTCTCAATTAAAATATAATGAAAGTATTATTTCCATGAAGCAGCGGTCGTAGAAGTAAGGAGGAGTTTATTATAAAAGCTGACTGCTTAATTTGTGGTAAAAGCGGCACCAATAAAAAGAAAAACTTAATATCTATTAGTATAGGTACAGCAGGGAGTACTACCCTGCTGCAGAAAAAATTGTTGCGTAGCTCTGTTTTGTTAGCTTTCTAACACAACGACCACAAGGTGATTCCGCCGAAAATGTTTTGCAACATAAAACATAATTATCCATGACGTCAATGTTAGTCCGTCTAAATAATCACGTGAAGCGTAAAAGAGAGATCTGTCAAATATAACAATTAATTGGGCAAGTGGTACCTAGATGCTCACTTACTTAGACCAATCACACTTATTGAAATTACGGGATAATAGATACTAATAACTTATTATTGGCTCACAGAACAACCACCTATCTATCTTTTTAATTAATTTTCAAGTTTTGACGTGCACCCGTTCTCTTTTTTAGCTTAATTGCATTCGTACTTACAAGTTTCCCAAAAGTTATGGATATTTTCCAGTTAATTTTTTGTGTTACTAGTTACTGATAATATAATCTTACCTGTGGGTAATTCCATCAATTAGCCACCAACGAGTGCCCCTTATATCCTCATTTCTATTTTATTTTTTAACTGTGACTTGACAAAGACCTAAGAAGTCCAAAAATCAATACTTTTTTTTTCTTACTCCCCACCTATTTCTTGAAAACCATGCAAAATTTACCATGCAGAGCTAACTTTAGAAAATTGTAGATCTTCTTCTAATTAAGTGATCGCCATCAAGCAAACTGCTAAGTGTTAACAAGTCTTGTCTCTTTAAAGCAACGTAAAAAATTTTAGATACCGATACTATTAAGGGTCTTTGCCAGTTATTTTAAATATTCTTTTTTTTTGTAAATAATGTAACTTCATACATTCATATATTCTTAGGGCTACTGGCAAACAAATTTTTTTTTAATGTATTTTGTTAACCAAGACCTTCTTATATATAAAGGCAATAAAACATTTTACAAGAATATCGGCTTGGTGTTAAAAAAAAAATATTTTTGAAGTTCATGTTTCTTGAAAAATACTATTTTTAGCCATTTCAGGAGTCAAGAAGGCCATGTTTGAGTGAGTCGAATTAAACCTACTTAGGGTAGTCATCACAGGCGCTTATTGTTCTCTTATATAATCACAAATAAAATTGTTGTGTATTTTTGTTTTAGTTGTCCGGTGAACGCATATGTCTCCCCTGACTAAACCTAAAAAAATTCGGTATTAATACTTGAATAAGCTAAGACACACTTTTCACAAATTTTGTAATATAAAAATTATTATAAACATAAACAACACGTATCACAACATGCACAACAAAACATAAGCTGAATTCTTGGCTGAATTTAATTGAACGAGAGAAAAAATTTTGAACTTTTACTTTAATCTTAAAGGAAAGAGAAAAAAAATAGTACATAGGTTTTTATGTGTTCTGAAATTGATGTTCGGATGGGAGTCCAGTTGCTCTCGCTAGTTGGGTATGGAATAACCGAACGTCTTTACCATATGGTAAGGATCTTCGTACATAGTGACATATCACTAGTTTACTTTGTAATAAAGAAAATCCTTCTGTTATAATGGAAAATAATGGCAGCTATGTCATTGCAGAACGAAGCGAAATGGAGCAATACATGATCAGCCTTTTTGATCATTAAGGCTATAATATTTTCACTCGTC